AAGTTTTTCATCCGACATTGATCTTTTGACGTCGTCCCTAAGGCAACTTGCCAGTTATATATATTAGAATACAACTACCTCTAGAGTAGTGACATATAGTTATGTACTATATTTTACAGAATATGGGGGGGGGGGTAACTGGTTGCTTGCATTCGAAATCTTGTCAGGCTGTCAACTATATTAGCCCAGTGTGTTATCTTTGTGGCAGTGCAACGCACATTGTATTGAGTGCCGACACGACATGCGCTCAAATAAACATCAACCAACCCAAAGCAATAATTTCAAATATATTTCCGGGAAAATCCGGAACACAATCTGGACAAAATTGATGAATAAAATCAGCCTAAAACTTGTCGACAAAATTATGCAATTTGTCACGCACGCGGACTGTACTACGTCACATCCTGCGACAGAGACGCACTTTATCGATATTTGGTGGTAGATTTTCACCTAATTCGTCGAAAGAGCAAGGGCAATGAATAAAATATCACCATTTGATGAAAAAATCAGTGTTTTAATGTGGCAGGCGAAACTCTAAATTAACAAAGAAGTCACCAATTGACAAAAGTTACCAAACATAAGAATGATTGTATACAAATACGTTATCATATAGTCATGGCGTCAAAATGTAATACTGAATAGCCACAAGTTTGTAAAGATAACAAGTTGACGTCATTCCAGTTGGCATTGTTATATGTACAGTTTGTTCAGGTCTCGTATAGTGCAGGTTCATATTTTTGGGAGAATTGTGAAATGGCCGGGTAAAACACAGTCACTTGGGGGCTGAAAATCAATAAATACTAATTAAAAAAAAACATCCGCTATACGTATATAAATAAACAAGTTGTGAAACATGGCACCTAGTATAATCGACATCTTGTCGGTTCAAATTTTGATTTCTTACCTTAAAATGCGAAACAAAAAGTTTAGAGGGGATCGGGTGTTACGTTAATAACCATTGTTCATAATCGCTAACTTTGTTATATTCAAAACTGCACAAATCCTGCGTTTTCTGATGATATCCGACGACTTCATGAACGAAAATCGCCAGCAGCCAGAATCAAGGGGGATTCGCA